TGTGTGGAGTGTGTGCACAAGTGTAGGCAGCCGGGGGAGGGGGTGAGGAGCCCAGCGTGCACCCGGCTTCCCTGCCACAGCCTGGCTGGGCTGGGGGCTCTTTCCCCTGCTGGACCCTGGGGCGAGCATGGCTCCCAGGCTCAAGGGTTCCTTGCAGAGTCTCCCTCAGCACAGCTGCTCCCGGGAGCTTCTCATGCTGGCATGGGAAGGGGTTCTTTGGAGCAGACCTGAGCATCCAGGAAGGCCAGGGGTCCTTAAGGAGACCGTGCATGCTGAGAGTTGGTCTTGGGCAAAAGCAGCTGCAGGCACGTTGGCCTTGGAGCCCTGGCATGGTGGCTGGGTCATGCAGCTACTCGGTGCTGGTGCAGGATGGCGGATGGTTCCCAGAGACAGTGCCTTCGGGGGAGGGGATAGGAAGGCCTAAGATCAGACCTTGGCTTCAGGTCCAGAGCTACCAGAGGGTCCGTTTGGGGGAGGTGTCCAGGACCTTTTACTACAAAAACAAAGTGCTGGGTGGGAGGGTGTCCGTGTGCCCAGCGTGAGGTGTGGGATGGGTGTTCCAGGGCTGGGAGCGTGCAAGGAAAGGCTGAGTGAGAGGAACGAAACGTGCAGGGAGGACAGTGCCTCTGAGGCTGCGGCTTGACCTGGTGCAACTTCCTCGGCAGGGACCTTCCTGGGATCACCTGGACCATCGCACAGGGAGCGTGGAGAGGAGGGCAGCAGGGGGGAGCAGTGTGGGTGCTGAAGGCTGGCGGCAGAAATGCCTCAGGATGCCAGCCTGGAAGGAGCGGACTGTCCCATGTGAGACGGGGATAGCCACCCCTGTACTCGACCCAGACTCAGACCTCGGCAGGAGCGGGGGGTCTTGGGAAGGGATTTCAGCTGAGAAGAATTAGGACGTGTGGGGTGGGGCAGAGGAGGGGTCTCCCAGAGCTGAGAGAACACGGGGGCTTTGCCAGGGAGTCCTGTGGGCACAGCTGGGGCACAGGCGGCTCTGGGAGCCTTGGAGGCGGCAGCAGCAGGTTCGGGAGGGGTGGCTCCAGAGGGGCAGCGGGACCAGAGAGGGGAAGGGCCCTCTGCGTGAACGCCTGCAGGCACGTGAGCCGAAGTGGGCCCAGCGGCCTTGAGAGGAGGACAGGCGGACAGACAGCTCCTGGACTCAGGGCGGCCGGGCGCGGGCAACAGTGACTCCCGGTGAGGCACTCCTGCTCCTGAGCGACCCGGGAGGCTGCGAAGGACTTGGGTGCGGCTGCTTGTGGTTTCACGCTCTCCGCCTCCTCACCCGGTGACGCCGTCTGTCCCTTGGTGCCGACCAGGACCGCATGGATGTCTCCACTCCAGACCCTCCTCTGAGACCCGGGACTCTTGAGATCGCCTGAAACGTCAGCGGATGGTATGCGTGCCCTGCCTTAGCCCTTTCCAGCCCTGCTCGGGCGGACTTGGCTGACCACGGAGCTTGGAGCCGTCCCAGCTCCCTTTCCCCTGTGTGTCTTCTTTTGATATTGATTGGAAGGCCGCGAGGCCCGGGGGGAGGGGCTAGAGCCTCCAGCGAGCTTCGAGCCCCACCAGCCCTGACTCTCCGGGTGTCAGTCAGTCCCCGTGGTGGGCAGGGCTCTCCAGAGAAGCAGAGCCAGTGGGATACGTATGTTTATACAGACAGATTCAGGTTAAGGAACTGGCTCATGTGAGTCGGAGTCTGGCCGGAGGGTCAGTGAGAGCCGGGGCTCCAGTTCGAGTTCAAGGCCGGCTGCCGGGAATTCCCTCATGCTCGGAGTAAGTCAGTGTTTCCTTCTTTTCAGGTCTTCAACTGATTGGGCGAGGCCCACCCACACCGTGGAACGCAACTTGCTTCGCTCGGAGTCTATGGATATATGGGGCGCCTGGGTGGCTCCGTGGGTTAAAGCCGCTGCCTTCGGCTCAGGTCATGATCTCAGGGTCCTGGAATCGAGCCCCGCATCGGGCTCTCTGCTCAGCAGGGAGCCTGCTTCCCTCTCTCTCTCTGCCTGCCTCTCTGCCTACTTGTGATCTGTCTGTCAAATAAATAGACAAATAATATCTTAAAAAAAGAAAAGTGCCTGCTAGTCCTAACCTCTCTCAACATCTCTAAAATTTTATCTGAAAAAATATATTTGTCTAAAGTTTTAATGATCTGAAAATTTTATTTTGCACTGATTTTTGGGAAACTGTGTGTGAAGTTCTTAGCTGACCGTTCCTCTCATCTGAGCACGTTTCCCGGGCCCTCAGTCTCCGCCTCGGCAGGAGTGGCTGTATCTGCGGAGCTCAGGTCCCTTTCTGGCCGGCTACTGAAGCATCTTCTTTCGTCTTCAACGGTCCGCGGCTTCGGATGCTGCGTGAGGCGTGGATTTTCTGTTTATTGATTCCATTTAATACATTGTGTTTCCCTGTAAACGCTTATCTTTCATCAGCTTTTTTTTTTCAAGAGAGAGTGTGAGCGGGAAGGGGAGTGGGAGAGAGAGCATCTCCAGTAGGCTCCCCCTACCCTGCTCAGGACAGCACCCACGCGACTTCCCTCAGTGCTCAGCACGGGACCCGTTGTGTGCCCCAACCTCTCCTGTCTTCTATCTCCTTACCCCTTGCACACATTCTCGATCATTTCTGGAGACTCACATTCCAGTTCACAAACTCCTTCTTCAGTTGTGTCAACAGCTTGACCAAGATGTAATTCCCATACTATGAAGTTCACCCTTTTAAAGTTTCTAATCCAGTGGGTTCAAGTACATTCAGTGCTGTGCAACTATCATCACTAATTTTTTTTAAGATTTTATTTATTTATTTGAGAGACAGAGATCGCAAGCAGGCAGAGAGGCAGGCAGAGAGAGAGGAGGAAGCAGGATCCCCACTGAGCAGAGACCCCGATGCCGATGCGGGGCTCGATCCCAGGACCCTGAGACCATGACCTGAGCCAAAGGCAGAGGCTTAACCCACTGAGCCCCCCAGGTGTCCCCATCACTATCTTTTAAAAAAACATTTCATCACTTACAAGGAAACCCCTTGACCTTGGCGGAAACTGCCCATTCCTTCTTCCTCCCAGGCCGAGGCACCCATGAATCTCCATTCCCTCTTTTTTGGCTTTCCCATTTTGGACGTCTCACAGAAGTGAAACCATGCCACGTGTTTTAAAACGACTTTTATAAGGGGCGCCTGGGGGCGCCTGGGTGGCTCAGTGGGTTAAACCTCTGCCTTCGGCTCAGGTCATGATCTCAGGGTCCTGGGATCGAGCTCCGCATCGGGCTCTCTGCTCCTCGGGGAGCCTGCTTCCTCCTCTCTCTCTCTGCCTGCCTCTCTGCCTACTTGTGATCTCTGTCTGTCCAATAAATAAATAAAATCTTTAAAAAAAAAAATAAGGGGCGCCTGGGTGGCTCAGTGGGTTAAGCCGTTGCCTTCGGCTCGGGTCATGATCTCAGGGTCCTGGGATCGAGTCCCGCATCGGGCTCTCTGCTCAGCGGGGAGCCTGCTTCCCTCTCTCTCTCTGCCTGCCTCTCCGTCTACTTGTGATCTCTGTCTGTCAAATAAATAAATAAAATCTTAAAAAATAAAAATATAAAACGACTTTTATGTTTATTTGGCAAACATCTTTCAACGTTTCTGATGACCTTTTAATTTCTCTGGAGAGTTTTTCATTTCCAGAGGTTCTCCTGTTTTTCACAGCGAAGCCTGGTCAGTTTTCTTTCCTTTAAATATATCTTAAACCCACAAGACAGGTTAATTTTATATCCTATATCTACCACTTCCAGTTTAGAAAGTTTGTGGAGATTTAAATCGGTCGCTCTTCATGGTTTCTGTTGTGTCATTGCAGGCTTGTGTTCTTTGGATGTTTGCTGAGTTTTGACTTTGAGCTCCTATTTGAATGGACTTTTTGGGAGCCCCAGTATCGGGGCTGGGTTTGCTTGTCTGTCTCCTTTATCTTCAGGCCTCCAGAGCCCTGAGCGGGGGTTCCAGCACTGGCTGTGTCACCTGTCACCGTGTGACCTTGGGCAGGGAGCTCAAGGTCTCTGTGCTCAGGCTTTCTCATTATAAGGTGGGGATGTGGAGCGTCCTTCCCCGCGGGTGGGGGTGAGGCTCTAAGGACGCAGATGCGGGGAGCAGAGCACATAGGAAGCGCCTGGTCAGTGCCCAAGGTGACTGGATCATCTCACGAAGGCATATCAGTGATGATCCTTTGTCGGAGGCGAGACTGGGTGAATCTTCTCCTTTGTGGCGCCAGGCCCCGGGCGGCGACCCGCCAACAGGGGACATTCGGTGACCATTTGTTGGCCAAATGAAGGCGGGCAAAGAGGAAGGACCCCCAGCACATGCTCAGCAGAGATGATTCCAGGCACGCGGACGGACCGCAAATGCAAAGGCACGACACTCAGAAGCTTCGTGGGGCCGGAAGGCGAGGGACAAAGCTGAGAAACTGGCCTTGAACGCCGCGACCAGCACTCGGGCCTCCGCCCTCGGGCGGGGGCGGGCGTGGTTGGAGCCGCAGGCCTGGGGGCAGTGGTGGCTGGCGGGGGCGTCGCGGGTGCTCCGGGTCGCGGCGGATGGGGGGGAGCGCAGCCTCAAAGCACCGGAGCCGGGACAGCGGGGCTGGGGAGGGGAGCGCTCCGGGTACCGGAGCCCGCGGACGGGCCCTGCGCGGATCACCTTGGTTGTTAACCTCCTCCCCTCTCTGCGTCTTTGTGCGCTTCGCTCGCTTCCTTTCGCAGTAAACGTCCTTCCGAGAGATTCCGAGGGGATCTCGGCCAAGCAGCGGGGGAAGGGATCTTGCCCACGCCCGGGGAGGGCTGCGCGGGGTGGCCGCGGCAGGAGCTGGCACCGGAGGGGGCGGAAGCGCGGGCCCGGCGCCGGCTGTCGAGGGGCGCGACCCGCCGCGGCCCGGAGCCCCGGGCGCCCCGCCCGCGCTTCTCCCGCCGCCCCCGCCGCCCCCGCCCCCGCCCCCCGCGCGCCCCCGCCCCGGCTCCGCTCCGCCCCTCGCGCGGGGTCCGCGTCTGCGGCTGCGTTACCCGAAAGACAAGGCTGCGCCCGGGTTCTGGTCCGCAGGGAGACCGAAGGGCACCGCTCCCCGTGCCTCCCAGAGCCCCGGAGCGCCGATCCCCCAGGGATGTGAGTGCGCCCCCGACCCGAGGCCCGCGCTCCACGCCCCGACCTGCGGTGAGCACCCGGACGCGTGCGGGAGGCGGCGTGAGGGGGCTCGGCGCGGGGTTCCCGGGCCCCCAGCCCAGGGGTGGGGGTGGGGACGTGGCGCGCGCCCCTCCCCCATCGGCAGGTACCGCCTGCTCGCACCTTGTCTTGCTCTTTTCTCTCCGGACGCACCTACCGCTCCCCAGGGAGGAGAAGACGCGCTCCCCCCCCCGACCCCCCACCCCACAGGTGCCAGGAGCGGGTTGGGGCGTTTCGAGCTGTCACCCTGCCCGAGACGGCGGACCTATTCTCCCTGGAGGGGATGCTGTGATGGTGGACGCTCTGGGGGGGATGGGCTGGGGGTGGGGCTTTTCGAGCTCTTGAACGACCCCCTCCCCCGGCCCCCCTGCCCGGGCCGGTGATTCCGAGGTGTTGGGGGGAGGTTTCCCTCCCGTCCCGGAAGAAGGGAGGGGGCTGCGGGTTTGGCAGGAGGCTGGGGCTCCTGACCGAGGCCTCTCCTTGCCAGGCCCGCGCCCCGGAGGACCTCCGCCCACAAGCCCCGCGCCTTCCTGAGGCCTGCCCGGAGCATGCCGTCTGCGGCCATGAACAGTCTCGGCCTGGTGCTGCTCGCCGGCCTGCTGTGCTCTGCGCCGGGTGAGTCTGGGGGCGGCCCGTGGGGCTGGGCAAGGTCGCCGGAAGAGCCCGAGGCGGCTCCGGAGAGATCCTGGCTGCGGGGCCGCCATCCTCCGACGGTGCCCGTCACATCCACGCCCTCTCTGGGCCCTCGCGCCTGTCGCCTTCACTCTTGGTGCTCCAGCCCCAGCCCCAGCTCCAGCCCCAGCCACGTGGGGTCCTCCCAGCTTCTGAGGGCACCGAGCGACTTCCGCCCCCCCATCCCCACCCGGCAGCCCGCTGCAGCTAGTCCCGCCCAGACGCCCCTGGCCCGGTGCAGGGGGCGGGGTTCTCGCGCGCCATCAACCCCCCCACAGCCCCACCTGGCCTCACATCAAGTCTGTGTGGTCCTTCCTTCCTTGGACCCAACTGAAGCCCAATGGGAGGTGTGGGAATGGGGTAGGAGTGTGCAGGAGAGCCCCAGAGGTGCGGGAGTTGTGTGGCTGGAGTGTGGGCACACCTGCGAACGGGCCACGGAGGGTGCCCAGGGCTGCCAGAGTTCCAGTGGGGGGACCCCCCCAACTGCTAGGAAGGCACAGAGGTTCTCCCAGGCCTGGCCTCCAGGTGCCAGCCTGGCCTGCTCGCTCCCGGCAGGGGGTGCTCGGCCTCCTACCGCGGCCTGGTTCTCTCAGCAGTGCCTGCGGTGGGCGGGTGGGGGCAGAGGGACAGCGGGCTTGACCCCCCCAGCTCCTCCGGTCATCCGTGTCCCTGTGCCCTGCCCAGCTCACGGCCTGTGGTGCCAGGACTGCACCCTGACCACCAACTCGAGCCACTGCACCCCAAAGCAGTGTCAGCCGTCAGACACAGTGTGCGCCAGCGTGCGGATCACTGACCCCAGCAGCAGTGAGTCAGGCCCAGGGCTTGGGCGGGAGCAGCGGGTGTCATCTGAGCCCCTCTGTCCTTGGCTGAGGGCACAGGGCTGTGGGCAGGATGCTGCCCAGTGTGAGGCCCGGCAGGTGCCTCTCCAGCCCTGGGCCCTGTGTGGCCCTCTCCATATCTGGAGACGGTGTGGGCGGGTGGGGGGACTCAGCTCTGCTGGCTGGGGTGGCGATCCGGGCCCCGGGCGTGAGGCGGAGAGGGCGGGGTGTAGCTCCCGTCCCAGGCTCCCTACCTCTCCCCCAGGCCGGAAAGACCACTCTGTCAACAAGATGTGCGCCTCGTCTTGTGACTTCGTGAAGCGACACTTCTTCTCAGACTATCTGATGGGCTTCATTAACTCTGGGATCTTAAAAGTGGATGTGGACTGTTGTGGGGGAGACCTGTGCAACGGGGGGCCGGGGGCGGGGGGCAGCCCCTGGGCCCTGGCCGGGGGGCTCCTGCTCAGCCTGGGGCCCACCGTCCTGGGGGCTGGGCCCTGAGCTCCTCCTGTAGCTGCAGGCCTCCCAGCTTCCTCCCCAGAGCCTGGCCTCACCCCTCCCTGCACAGGGAAGCCTCCCTCTCTCCACCAGCTCTGAGCTCCAGTGTCTGCAGGAGGCCCTGGGTAGGGGGGGCGGGCTGGGGGCTGGGACCCCCAGGTCTCCTAGGGGAAGCCAGGCAGAGCCAGGCCCAGCCCAACAGCCTGGCTGCGAGGGCATCTTCCGCGGAGAAATAAACTCACTTGTGGTCCAGAGACCTGGGTCTGAGCCTGGGTGTCGGAATGAGGCCGGCAGAGCAGTGAGGGGTTCTGAGGATGTGCAGGCTGAGGGTGGAGATGCGTGGGGCATGGGGACTGGGGGTCTGTGGTGCACGGGGGCTGCTGGGGGGCCTGGGGCCTGGTAACGGATGGGAAGGGAGGTTAGAGTGGGCAGAATCTCGGGGCTGGGACATGAGGGTAAGGCCTTGTCAGTGCGCGTACGTGCGTGTGGGCGGCCAGACGTGCAGCCGGGCACGCTAGACGTGCACACCCGTGCCGCATCCGCACCCACGTGCACGCGCACCCTGCAGACGTCCACAGGTGTGCACGCCGAAACAGTGCTGTCCCACCAGCGCCTGGACTGGTGTGCCCCAGCCCCCACACACTCACATCTGCGTGCACACTATCCCTGGCCCTCAGCACCTTGCACACACAGGGACACACGGGCACACACGCCCTGCGTGTCCGCCACTCTCGCTCTTTCTCTTGTTTGCTCTCTCGTGGAGCCTTGGGGCGATCGGACTCAGGGCCTGCTCCCCAGAGCGCTGTCGGGAGCTCCTGCCCAGACTCTGCCTCTTAGCCAGACACCCCTGCCTCCACCAAGGGCACCTTCTCAGACAGGGTCGTGAAGGCCAGTCCCTGAGTGGAGGCTGAGGCAGCCCGTGTGGAGTGGCGCAGAGGGACGGGGTGCTTCGGGAGGGAGGAGGCAGGGGGCACCGACAGGTCATTCTTAGGGACCTGCTGTAGCCGTGGGTCTCTGCACCGCTGGGTTCAGCCCAGTCTCCCACACTTCTGGCCACATGGGTCACCCTGGGGCCCGGGCTCGCCATGTGAGGTCAGCAGCCACTGCAGGCTCTGCTGGGGTCTGGCCTTCAGTCGGTTCTTCCTCATCCTTCGTGGCTGACCTAGGCTGTGGTCACTCACGGGGCTGGGACCCCGTGGCAAGAACCGTGGTTTCACTAAGAGCTGGCCGTGGCGTTCCTCCCGGGGCTCCCGCGTGTGAGTGAGGGAGAGGAATCTGGAAGTCCGGGTGAGCCAGATGGGAGAGGGGTCGCTGGAGACCATGTCCACTTCCTGCTGGTGGGACCGGCCAGGGACGTGTCTCCTGCTCTGTTGTAACTTTGGTCTACAATGCACCCGGTTCCCACGGCGTCCAAACCTCCGCACCATGTGCTGTCCGCCGCGGGGGCCTGGTGTCTGGGGTGTGTAGGGACCGGGCACTGTCACGTAGGGCAAGTGCAAAGAGCGCCTTGAGGACCCAGAGGCCAAACGCTGGTGCCAGCGAGGACAGGAAGCCGTGGGGGCTCCGGAGGTTCCCGGAGGACGAGGGCCACCCCGTGGGCACCGGGTTCAAGCCCACTTTCAGGTCAATCTTTGTGTGCTGACTTTATTATCTGAGGGAAGTATTTAAAGCACAGAAAGTGGGGAGCTTCTTCCAGCTCTTTGAGAGAGCAGTGCGATTCCAGGCAGATGGGGGCTTGGGGGCAGCGTGACCCAGAGAGCCCACTTGGACCTCTTTGCTCTCCGCTTCTGGCTGCCCCGTCTAAGTCTGGGTCCTCACGCCTGAAAGCGAGCGAGCCCTGTCCCCCAGGGTGATCTGTCCTTGCAGGGTCAAACCCCACTGTCCGTGTGGCATGCTGGGACCAGCAGGGCAGGTGCTGGTAAACCCATGTGCCCCTTGATTATTTTTCTAAAGACTCCACCAAGGTCGTCCTTCAGGATCTACGCACACCTTTTGTTTTGGGGGTCTGCTTAGTGTTCTTCTGAATAAACCAACTGCCTTTCTTAACCACCCCTCCCCTGCGGGCAGAGGGGCTGCTCTCTGTCTCTGATCAGCCAGGCTGTGAGCGCCCTCAGCCTAGTGTCCTTATGGGATCGAGTGACTCTCCATCTCCGGGGATTCCGGGAGCGTGCAGCTGAGCCAGGAAAACGTCTCCTTGGAAGGAGCCGATCTCGAAGGGAGGCTCCTCCCACCTTTCCCCGTGCGATCCCCCAGGAGCTTCCGTGTCCGCCTGGGAGACGAACACTAGAATCTCATCCTGATTTCCCTTGGAGAGCTTATTAGTGAGATGGAACGTAAGTCCTGACTTGTGAGTGTTTCCTCGTAATTGCCTTGGTCCGCTTTTCCGCTGTGGCTTTTGTCTTTTCTTACTGAAGTGTGAGACCCTTTTTTGAATGGGGTACCGGCTGCCCGTGGTTTGTGTTTTCCAAGGACCTTCATTTTGGGGCATTTTCCTGCACACCCAGGCATGTCCTCAGGTTCCGTGTGGCTGAGTGTAATCGATCTTTGTTGTTTCTGGCTTTCAGATCTGAGGAGAGCCTCCTCGGCGCTTATCTTACGAAAACGGTCTTCCTATTCCGCGCTTTGTTCCGGATTGGGCTCCTTCCCTCTGATCCCGGAAGGTCCCCGAGTGTGCTTACCACATGGCAGGAGTCAGGACTTCTCCGAAATACGTGGCCGGTGTTTCTCAGCGCCGATCTTGAACACGCCCGTCTGTCCCCCGTGACTCCAGGTGCTGCCTGGGTCACGGCACGAGCCGGGATGTTCTGGCCGCGGTGATGGGCCCCACCGGGTGCCTTGCTCCTGGCTGGTGAGGCGAGTCCCCTCCTCGCTCCTCTTTTGACACTTCTTGCGACTTGTTCTTACAGGTGAACGCTGGGGTCCGTTTGTCCGGTTCCGGAGTGATGCTCGGGAGCGGCGGTCACCGTCTGGGCCTGCCGCTGGGGCCGATGTGCCCCATCTGTGTGAGGGCTCCCCAGCGCCAGCGCGGCGCTCCTTCCGTCCCGTGGGCCCGGATCGAGCCCTGTTCCAGCTCGTTTTCCCCTGTGGGCCTTGTACCTCCCCCACGTCAAAGCTAGGTAACGTGCAGTTTTGGTGCTTGTAATTGAGACTTTCTCCTTTTCTTTAAACCAAAGTGGTCATTTTCCGTGTGGCAAGCTGATGTTTTCCATTTTCTTCATGCCGTTCTTTCCAGAAGCCGCCCCGCCCCCAGCTGGCCTCCATTTAAGCAGGATGGCTGGGAGGTCTGGGGGCTCAGTATGGCAGACAACCGAGGGAGCCCGTGGGTCACTGGCCTCCGTGTTTCCAGGAGCCCCCGCCACAGGCCTCTCCGAGATGGCGGGAGTGAGTCTGCAGACAGACCCGTTGCACCACAAGACGCGGAGGGAGGAGAGAGGGGGCTGCCTCCAACTGGGCGGAGATGCCCGGGGCTGAGAGGGCAGTGGGCTGGCAGGAGCCAAGGGTGGGTCCCAGAGAGAGGCTCCCGAGGGGCAGGACCTCCGAGCGATACCCACTGGCGGAGGTCTGGGCTGGGGGCAGCAGACAGCCGCGGGCCTCCATGCTGCGGTGGGCCTGGGGGCAGGGTCAGGGCCAGGCCCCCGTGACCTGAGCGAGGGCACAGCCTGCGGGTCCTGGCACTGGGCGAGGACCAGACGGGCTGGGGTGAGGCTGTGGGTCCGCTAGCCGTCCCTCACTGCACGCAGCCCTGGGAGGGAAAAGACCAAGACGTCAGGCTTCTGCCGTCTGGAGAGACGGGTCTGGAGAGAAGAATGGTGACCGAAAGGTTAAAGTTCTGTTCTTCTCGCCTGGGCTTGGGGGCTGTGCTCATACGTGGAGGGCTTTTGGGGGGGGCTCTGCTGGCAGGGGAGGGGGGCTGCTCCAGGCGGGCAGGCGCTCCTTGCCCCCCCCCCCCCGGCAGCCCTCTTCTGTGGTGTGGTCTGGACGCATCTCCCAGCAAAGCCAAGGTTATGGAGAGATGCCTTAGGGGCTGGGAGGCTGCTGAGTGCGGCGTGAATTCCAGAAATGCAAGAGCAGGGGCGGCTGCAAGGTGCAGAGGGAGTGAGGGTGACGAGGGTGGCCACCGTCAGCGCTGAACCCACGCAGGGAAAAGCTACTTGTTCTCCCCCCGAGCTCTGCGTGGTCCATGATCCTGAATTTTCAAGGCGTGCCACAGGCTGTGAGCAAATGGAGACACGACTCTGCTTTCCCAGCAGTTCGCGCTCACGCTGTTTGTGCGGCTCGGCGGAGTGATGACACTGGCCGGGGCAGTCTGGGTTCACCGTCCGTCCTCCCTGCGGCACCTTGGGTCAGCGTTTGCCTTTGGACTTGAAATCAGACTCTGTTCGGCTCATGCTCTTTATTCATAATTCAATTAGATTTTTTAGGAGGAACGGTGATGAGTTTAAGAGAAACAGCCTCTTGCCCTTTGCTGATACGAGGACACGTCCGTTCGCTAAACCGGTGGCTACTAAGTGGGCTCCATTGCTCGGTGTCCTGGACAGGAGGCGCCTGGGCGTTTGCGATAGGTAAGCCCCTTGGGGTCCCGGCGCCGCGTTCTTCTCCACCGCCGCCAGGCTCCCATCGCCCCTGCCGCGTTAAGGTCCGCTGTGTTTCGGGTCTAGGATTGGGACGGGTCTCTAGTCCTCAGGTGTCCTCATCGGAGGTGAGCTCGGGATTTTGGCAGCCTCGAGGAGATGGGCGCCCCATCTGGAGCAGTCTGGCTCTTGGGGGGCTCTGGAGACCTCTAGTGTGGGCCCAGGGAAGCTGTAGGACGGGGGTACTGGGGACCTCAGCCCGGCTGGAGGTCTTATTCGCCCACTTGACACCGAGGAAACAGACCTGGAAGAGGTAAGACCCTGAGACCCCAAAATCCTCACCACGTGTGCAGGACACACGCGGACTCGGGTCTTTGCTGTTTGATCTTGACCAAGCCCTGTGTCCCCTCTGAGCCGCACTTCTGTCTGTGAGGGGGGGGTACGCCCAGCTCTCGGGGCACCGGGGGGCGGGCGCAGCAGAGGAACCCTGTTCCAGCTCGTGGGGTAGATGGCAGTGGGGGAGGGAGAGCGGGCACCCTTCCTTTCTTGGGGCCT